CGTACTTTATGTTATGTTACTGGTGTTTTTATTAAGCTAACGTTAATGAATGTTTAGAGTTGGGGTAGCATTTGAGCAATCGTAGCTCCATCTGTGCTAACGATGCTATGCGTAGCATCCAAGAGTGTAAAACATTAAGTGGGATGCTACTGTATACCAAAAGGCTTCTGAGCGAGGTTGCTAAAATAAGGTCATCCTTGTACGTTAGATAGTTAGTTTGCTAGTTAGGTTACTGTATGCATTGTTAAGGTTCATTTAAATTCGCTATGCTCTACTATAGCATAAAATAGACTAGCTAACTTCAACGTATTGTTGAAGAGAGGCTTAGTGTATATTAAATCAACCTCACAATGAAATGTGTGTATCTTTAAAATATGAACGTCACATTTCAAGATGGTCCAGAAATAACGCTCCCTTAGATATTGTAATATGGTTTGTTGAACTGGAGTTATTTATTGCAGCTAACCGTCTATCCGACGAACGACCCAAACATTGTTGTTTTTAATATTATTACCAATGCCTCTTTTAATTGTATTATCCTCACACTTGAGAAACAGCCTTATCGTTGCTGTAGAACGGAACATGTAACGTAATGCCTGCATTTAAGGACGATGAATAGCGTAGTCAATGCTTTAGTGACAAGGAAATGATTTGTTTAAATATGATATATGACGTTATCTGTGACTTCAGTGGAAATGAAGCTTATCCATTGCATTGTATTTGTTCAATAGGTTTGTGTATTACCCTTACGTGTGTGATACATATGAATATGGCATTTGAAAACAAATTAATTTGACTGACTCATGAAAACCTCATCCAAAGTAACAGTAAAATAAAAAGGACCTACACAATAATACTCAATCAAACTGATACAGTATAAGGACTGTGATATCCAGCAATTTCTGAAGTATAACAATAAGATTATGACCTGTTTTTAAAAGAAGATAAAAAGTAGTTTGCATGTAAAGAAGTCTGTAACCCATGCATGTAACTTTACATCTGTTTGTTCAAAGTGTCCTCAAGGTGATCCAGACAGGCTGGACCAGAGGAGGAGAGACATATCTGGACTCCTAGCAGCAGAGAACTTCAGCACAGATTCCAAGGTACACCTTTTTCATGCTTTACAAAGAATGCATAAAGTAATGACTCTAATACACTGATATACATGCCATTAAACATGACTGAGTGAATACTAGATCCCCTACACATCAGTGATGTTGAGTGGACTTTCTTAGCAAAAGGTTACATTTACATTTGACCAAGCAACATCACATAGTGAGAGCTGCAACCCTTTGTCTTTCAGTGAGACAACCGGACAGAGCAAGCTTCAACAGTTGCACTAAGTTTTGATAACAGTTAAATATTATTTTAATAATACATTTATTTCAATGTTGATGAATTTAGAACGGTTTATTCATAATCTGATTATCTTTGTAGTACACTGTTGGATTTAAAAAACACATTCAAATAAAAAAATCATTATATTTATGAACAAACAAACACACCTCTTTCTTAAATAACACACTTGCTCTGCAATAATATGTTTTTTGATATTTCTGTTAGGAAAGGACACGCCTGAGAGACAGGACTGCTTCACCATGTTCTCTTTCTCTGAGGGTCCAGAAGAACATCCAAGAGGGAAAGGAGAAGCTGATGTGATGAGATTTAAGAGCAGTACAGGACATTCACTAAGAGACACTTATATTGTAACACAAAGACCTGCACACTGACTAGTTTTCTAGTCTAACAGGAACTTCATTTGTGTTGTTTTGTGTTTTACGTTGCACCTCAGAGACAGTGTGATTATTGTCAGGCCTATAAAGTTTGGCAAAAAAAAGAAAGTCAGCTGATCAAATGCATTTGCCTCACTTTCTGAGCTTCACATCACTTGTGCCTTGTGCCGCCGAGTTTGGAACGTCATAAATAAATGGTGCCAATCTTCATTCAGATGTGAATGTGTAATCTAACATTTTCAGCAAGAATAACGGACAAAAGGAGTGCAAATACAATTTATTGAAATGTGAACTAAAAGTTATCAAGCATGAACCATCACCATTTTTTTTAAATAAAAACGAAATAATATACATAAGTTACACTAAATGTTAATCTGTTAATTGACAGGCCTGTGCAGGTGGTAACAGCTATGCCCAGCATGGGCTAAGTTCTGTAGGTGCAGCTGGTGTAAGTCCTCCTCCCTCAGGCCTGCAGGGTCTTTCCCTGCGAGGAGGACTCCTCGCAGGGAAAGACCCTCAGCCCTCTCCGGCCAAACCAACAGACAGGACGTTCATAAAGCTGAGGTCTCCCCCAAAGTCTCTAATCATCCATCCTGTGAATATGAGAGGGGAACAAATAGTGTAATAGATGCTTTGGACAATAATAAATATAAAGTTAACTGTTGAGTTGCTCAGTTTTTTAGATTGACAGGGTTTAATAACACAAACAAAAGGAGAGAAATAAAGATTGGTCTTTCAATAAATTGTGTTGATTTTGTCTTTTGAATTGTTTGTGTGAAGTCAAGTAGCTAGAACTGTTACTTATAGTTTGAATGATACAGTCTGGTTATAATGTGTGGAGGAGGCATCACAGGTAAGAGCACCATTTGTTGGGTTCCATCCACAACACATTGATGTGTGTGTATTTATTTATCTACTATTTCTTGAATCATTGCTGTCAGTCCAAAACAAGAGATTTTGTTTTGGTAACATTTAAAAAAAAAAAAAACATCTCTTTTCCACTACACTATCTTGAATACTTTAGTTTTTACGTCACTACATTTATCTAACAGCTTTAACATTGTAAAGGTGTCACTTCGGACTAATTATGACAGCATGTCCTACTCAGCCCTAGAGTCTCTCGGGCTCTGGTCCTACTATTTTGAGAGTTTGAACAAACCAGACCTTCATCTATTAATGTAGAAAATAGTTGGCACATTACACCATTATGAAAGTAAGAATTAGTTAGCTCATTGTTCAAATGAGCTCCAACTACAACAGTTAAGTCAACTCGTGCATCGGTAATAACAATAAATCAAATGATATAATATAATAGTATAACTTGTGTCTACTTTAACAACACTTTCCTAATTATACTAGCATACTTTTACTAAAGTAACATTAACATGTTTAAATGCAGGGCTTTTGTAAGAGAGTATTTCGTATAGTGTAGCATGGTCTACTTGACTTATCTAACCGAAGTGATCGTTACATTACTTTGCAAACCGTCACCCCCAACCAACCAACCCACACACACACACGTTGTGATTCACTTCAATTAATGGTAACGGAGCTTGCTAACAGCAAGGCACAAGGATACTTCACTCATTTAGCTAATGTAAGATACAAATGCTGTCGAGCCCTCACTGCTTGTAAAATAAAGAGCACAAACTGACTACTTACCCGAGCGGCGAGCCCCGCTGTTCTCCGTCATTTTTCTCCCGGATTGTTGTGATCACATGACTGACAAATCCGTGCTCTGATAGGCCAGAAGTCGGAGTTGCATTAGGGCTCGATTGCTTATCCTGTCTGCGTAGCCCGGATGATGCTGCATCGCAATTTTGGACATCGAATTGTATACATCGAATTTTTTGACGTCGAATTTTTGGGATCTGAATTTGAACATTCGAATTTTTTTCACTTGAATTTTTACATTTTTATTTCACATAGGTAAATTCGGAGCAAAAACATTTAGATACATGATTTTCAAAGTAATTATTTTCAATGTTATAAATTCGGTGTCTAATACAATTCAAATACTTCTGTCTCTTGTTTGCTTCCATATAAATGAGTTTGCAATTTTTTTTCCCCCGTGTATCGACCATAGACTGTATATATAAAGGTATCGACTCATAGTTGCTACTTTAATGTACAATGGGTTCTGGCAGCTTCAAATTTTGGAGCAGCATTGTAAAATTAAGGCCGACTTTTATTGACCTTATTAGAGCAGATGTGCTGTTTTAGGATAATAATTTCACCCTTTGGACCCATTGATCATCTCATCCAAATATTACTGATCTGAGCTACCAAACAGAAAACTGTGTCAACACTAGAGTTCAAGCTTCACTATTGCCAGGTATTGCACAAGTAATACATGCATATGTAATACCAATTTTTATACAACATTTTTGCATGACTTATTAATTAATGTATTGAGAAAACAACATTACCCTTTGTTCTGTGCAGGAGTTACATGGAGTCCAGGATGACCATCTCCCGAGTTTACAGTTGATGGGATTTGGTTTGTTGACAGCTCTGGCACTCCTTGCCACAGCCAAACTGTCACCCCAAAAGCACTTTTATTATCTCAGTTCCTCCTCTTATATCCATGGAATATATTCAACCACTACCAAGATGTAAGCAAGTGAAAGATATATTAAAGGGAGGAATACTGCACCTTTCATCAGCAGTTGTCCATGGCGTCCTGGATGCACTCACAGCTGGGCTCAAATGTAAAGCAAGATGCAGCGTGCATAAAGTCAGGAGTAAATTCAAATATCTCTCCATGCTGAAAATGAGTAGATAGTCCTTAGGATTCAAATACCACATCCCAAAACAGCCGTTGTAATGTGACTTCTCTTCACTGCAGTCTTGACCAACCACAGTGAATGATTGATGAAGAGTAAACATGTGCTCTTACAACAGTTGGGAATGTTTTTTTGTATTAATCTATAACCCCAGAAAACACTTAAATAAAGCCAGAACATGGCGTCCCAATATGAACAAAATATACACTTTTGATGTAGGCTAACAACAGCAAAACTATTTAATACACCTCAAACTTACACAAACGTTTTCCTTTTTACAATATCTGCAGTAAAGAATATCATTTTTGTTTTAAATTAGATTATTATTTTCATGATTATTTGTATTGATAATACTATTATTAAAAAAAGAAAAAACAGTGGCTCTGCCTCTTTGCGCAACTACCTGACGTCGAGTTCTGATTGCTCAATTAAACGGCACGAACGCGCACGTCATTAGGTCACGCGCAGCAGGTACGTCTCAGGTGCGTCTCACGGCGTTGCTTTCAAATTGTTTGTTTTAGCTGCCTGTTTGTTTCTTCTCATGATTTATCAACGAAGCCGACAGCTTCCACGTTACCTCATTTTTGACCGCTTTCCAACGGTGAAAAGCTGAACAGGGATGCACAGAACGAGCTACAATGGAAGAGGTGACTTTTAAAGATAGAGTGAATTTACTCGAACAACGTTCAAAGATAGCTTCATTTAAGAAGCATACCATGGTATGGGCTAACTGTTACCGCATGTTGGTTCACGCACATTACAAAACAATGTATCATTCACTTCTAGTGGTGTCTAGCTTTAATCAACAGATAGTTTGGGGTTTATTGGCCCAGATTCTCAGACACCTATCTCAGAGATATCGGTCTCCATTCCCAAACGATGGCTGCAAATACAATTTATTTTGTGGTGCTTACAGTATTTAAAAATATCGCATTAGAAAATCAACAGCATCATATTCTTTTAGAATAACATTTAAATATGGAGAAATATAAGATAAATGTGGGCTGCCTTTAACAAAAGAAGAAAAATCAATCAAAACCTTGATTTACAAGTGTTCTTTCCTCTGTTCTTTGGTTCTTTGTTTACAATGGAGGCAAGTTTTCTTCAGAAATTCAAGGTAACATAATAATTAATATATAAAATGGTAATGATTGTGGTTTAATTGTTTCCTTATTAAGTCAATGTATTAGTCTTGTTCTATCCACCTAACTGTTTAAACCCTAAACATATTCAGTTTAGAATCATCCCCATACATGCACGCACATACAGATCACCTTTCCTGTCTTTTTAAAATATATTTATACTTATTTCCATTGTTGTTTTTTATTATTTTGTACATTATATTGGGTTAAAGGCAGAAATCATGGAGAGATCTTTCAAAAACCCCATCATGTAAATCCAAAACTAAGTAATTATGTGAGATGTTTTTCGTAATTTTGGTAAACCAACCCTTAAATGGTGTTGTGCCAGCATTGGGGTTTGCTACCATAAATAATAATTTAAGTACATTTCCTGTGAAAGTAGTCATATTTCTATTAATCTAATTATTCATGATTCTTTTTTTCCAATGGAGGGACTGAGCGGTTTCAAAGCTCTGAGGGCCAAGTTTCAGGAAGAGGCCCTCTTGGCTCAATCCAGAGCTAGTCGCCCACCTGTTGCAGAGAAACCCAAATACCTTCCACCTTCCGGAGGACACTTCAGCTCTTTGGTCAGCAGTATTAATATTGCTGTGGAAAACAAGCCCCCAGTTCCCCGGGTCATATTCAGAGATGGGCTGCGGGCATCTGGAGGTAAGCGACCGATATCCTTTCCACCACAGCCTCAGCAGACCTCCCCCTCATCCCAGCCGACTAATGGAGAGGCAACAATAAGGCATTCCATCAAAGACAGACACATGGCTCTGGTGCTTCCTCTCCTGCATGCGAAAGAGAAAAAGACAGAACCGCCGGTCAAAAAGGAGCACAAACTGGAACCAGAGCCAGAGACAGAAGTCCTGCCACAAACAAAAATCAAGAAGAAAGGTTTGCTGCTTCCTTTCAAGTCAACTAAAGCTTCAAAGATCAGTGCAGAAAATGGAAATGAGCCTACGTATGCTGATTTGACCATCAGACCCTCCAGTGCTCCTGGTGAGTTGCCCTCCTTGGAAAGACACACCATAGAAGATGGGCTTTCCTGCCCAAGTGACCAATCACCCGCAGAGTACCCCCTGTCTAGCCCCGATATCCCAATCACCCATCCTACTGCAGAGTCAACTGTCGACTCCGAAAATAAATTTATGAGCACCTTGGAGAAAGCCAAGAAGAAGTTTTCACGCAAGCAGATGTTGATCTCTGTTAAAGCTAAGAGCTGGCGGTCCCCTGACCACGTCTCGAGAGACGAGGCGTTTTCTTCGCCGCCAAATAACTTGGTGGAATCTAAACTACCCATACCCTCTCCCGTCTATCTTCCACACCTGGCTTGCCTATCGGCCCGGCCGTTCTTCAAAGCAGACTACACACCACACAGTAAGTTACATTCAGAACCATTTTTTGTCCATGTCAGACACCCATGTCATCCTATACTAGTTTTTCGATAAGATATCTAATGTGTTTGTGATGTTGTCTTTCCCAATGGCTAGAGTATGCTAGAAATAAGCAGTTTGGCAGAGATACAACTCTTCCCCATGTCAAGACTGGTGAACCTCATCCAACCCTTGCCCCTCGAAATGAGCCTCTGCCTGACTCGATGTCACTGGGTCCATTGCCCAAAAAGCCCCCCAGACCTCAATTTGTGGATCTCAGCTGTTACCATCGACCCACAGTTAACGGTTTGTTAACTTTTCTTCATTTCTGTTTCTTTTTCTTCTCCATTTCAGTAGCTGTGCTTCATTTTAATATGATTTCCCCCAACCCCTCTTTTGTGGCTGACGGACTGAAGACTATATTGGCAAAAAGTTTGATTTCACTTTGACATCGCTCACTGTGTGTATTCAGTGCTGCGGTTTACATTATACTTTCTTGTGGTTAGGCTGAACATCTGTTCAAATGCTGATCTTGGTTTCTTATTATAGAGGTGTCACCAGGTCTGAGCCAAGCACCAAGCGCAGAGCCAAAGGCCAAGCACCCATCCATCTCCCAGTCTGTGCTCGACGCTCCAGAGTTTCCAGACTTTGACATTTCTGAGATTGAAATGGCAGACGGTGAAGCTGTTGACATTTCTGCGCTAGAACTGGAGGCCTTCGACTTAGTCAGCATTGAACTTCCTGTCCCAGATGACTTTGGGGTCGTCGATTACGAGGATCCACAAACTCAATTATTAATGTGCGATGCTGTAGAGCCCTTTATGAGCACCGACGTCCAAGATCTGAACCTCGGCAATCTAAACATAATGCCCCTTGATCCGGCCAGCTTCCCTGAACCAATAAACCTCCCAGAGTTCCCAGAGTCTGCCGTGTCAGAGCAGTGGTCTCAGAGCGAGGAGGTGATCGTGGATCCTCTTTCAAGCACTAAAGCTGACAAGACTGATCCGGGAGATGCTGAGTCAAACTCTGCTGTGCAGGAAACAGTCAATAGTAACCACGCCGCATTGTATGATGGGAGTCAACCACATCCCGAGTGAGTTTTATTCTACTTTCAATCACATACTGATAACATTTCCTGTTCGTTCAATCTGGTTGTTTTGCTTCCTCTAGTGTATCTTCACAGGACAGTTACTATGAAGCGTGCGATAATGTGTACGAGGATGTCGAGAACATCAACAAATTCAGCTTCGGCCAGAACTCGCGCAAACGTAAAGCGGGACTGAAGAGTAAGAATGTTCACTTATTACGGTATTTCTTCCTGATAGAAGTGCTCATTATTCTCCCTGTTTAACTTGTTTGTTCATCATTTTTACAGATCCATACGTTAACCGTGCGACGGTAACTCCTTTTCTTAAATACATTTTAAATGAGCATTTAATCATCTTTTTATTGATTATGTTTATGAAGAACAATATGTGGCAAATCAAAAATAATCTTTTATTTTCAGAAAGAGGAGGCACCTCATCATTTATGGCAGCGGAATCCACGGTATGTATTCTTTTAAACATACAGTACAAGTCTTGTGTTTTATCTTTAAAAAAATTGGCCAGCCATTGATTTTTGTCTTACTGTGCTAGGGGTAGTTTGCCACGAGATCCCTCTCTCCCGAGCTTTATTCATGCCCACAGGTATGTCAGACATATCCCCTCTCATACAGCCATATACTTGTTCCCTCTGTTTACACATCGGAAAAACCTTAGTTTTTGTAATTCAGTTATTTTTTACTGGAATGTGGTTCCATTTATATTCAGGTGGAACATGTTATCTTTATGTAAAATGAGTTTTCTTTGAGGCCATTGAACAGTCTGATTTGTTTTCAGTAAAGAACGCAACAGCCCTAACACAGCTGAACATAAAGAACGGAAGAAGAGGGAAAAGCAGCGACTGGAGAAGGAGAAAAAGGAGCTAAAAGAGAGGGAGAAGAAGGAACATGAAATGAAAAAGAAATTCAAAGTAAGTTAGGCAAATACTCAACTGATTAGTAAATACTTTAGTACTTTTAGTCTTGTAGAGCTTTCTAAACTGCTTCTGGGAGGCCCTTAATGGTCAGTTTTTAACTTGCTCATATTCCATCCTGCATTTTAAAGAAATGTTTTACTATCACAATGATGGTAAATGAAAAGTATTACATTACTGAAACGTTTCTCTCTAGGTGACCGGTGAAGAGGAGGCCATGTACCACGTCAAGGCGATGGTGGCTAGCAAGGTTCGCAAGAATGACCTCCCAGTTCAGAAAGGAGACACTGTTGGCATCATTCGCACCACCAACTGCCCCAAAGGCAAATGGTTAGCCCGAGACACTAACCACAAATGTGAGTTTGTACACATGCTGTTGATTTTCCCCCCCGATAGATCGCAATATTCAAAACAAGGATTTGAGATATTGTGATTCATTGATGTTGATAAAAGGTTCAGTCACATGATGTTACCTGCACTAGTCTAAGCATGTGTAAACTTGAGTTGAATCTTGAACTGAAAGCAGGCTAAAAGTCATGTTTCTTTACATAAAAGTAAAGAGATTTTTCAAAATGAACATCACAGTTTCAGTTTTTTCTCTTTCCTTGGTATTGCAGATGGTTATATTTCCGTGATGAATGTAGAACTAAATATCAAAGAGATGCTGGAACTTGGTAAGAAGGCCCAAGCAGCTGGACGAGGAGGCAACCTGGAAGCAGACACAATCAGCATTGGGAGCAGGTGCTGGATACTGCGCTGATAAAAATGCTTTCGCTTCTAAAAAGATTTGTAACCAGCCGATTCTCACAAGTATATCAGCGTGGGGTTGTGTCATGATATATGTCTAATAACTATTTTCTTTGTTTTGCAGATCATCTGGTCACCTTGTACTAACAAGCAGTTGTAAGTATAAGCCTCTGCACAAACACAAATATTGAAGGGATATTTGACATCGTTTAAGTATGAGGTACTTTCCATATTCAGTGCATTTCCTACAGAAGACACCCCTACTGTAGTTTGGACTCGGAATATGACACAGGATCAGGGTCGGCTCTAGAACACATTGAATGGGGGGGAAATCATTTACCACGGGGGGGGCACACACTGCCGTCAACAACCAACATACAAACACCAACGCAACTTCAATTTCAAAACATGCTGTAAAGGCTCTTGTTTTCACACATTGCAGAGGTGTGGTGCTATTTTCTAGCGCACCTATGACTTGTACACGGTTGTGGCACGACCACCAAAACAGAAACATATGGACATAGGCCACCGTATATTAAAAAGTGTGCAAATGTATTTAGTATCCTATCCATGTGAACATGTTTTAGGTGGGGGGTGGACCTAACCTCCTCTAGGGGAAAGCAAAATGTATTTTAACTTTCTAAAAAAAGGCTGCCAAATAAAGAAATCGATATCAGTTTTAGTGTATGCGATATACTGTAACTATTTTCACCGCTCGACTTATCGCTCTTTCTGGTGGGGGAACTGAAGCTGTTATGTGTTCTCTCTCCAAAGCCACCAGTCTCCTTTGACAAAAGAGTGTAATTTCCCCTCTAGAACACAGAAGTTCCTGGTCTGCTGCTGCCTTGATCGCTTAGTTAATGTATGTAATTACATGATGTTGGTTCATCTGAACTTGGTCTTAGTCTTAAAGAACACCTAAAGTCACACAATAACCGAGACTAACCGCTAGAGTCAACTTTCAAGTCTGGAAAGGTAAAGTAAGTGTTTCCGTCAACGGGGTCTGCTGGCTTTCGAGAGAGCATGGACATAAACTGTAAAGCTATCTGACGGCAAGCAAAGTGGTGAACATGTTCTTAACGTCCTGTAGCTACACGTATCCTTTTACATAGGTAGACTTTTCCTTTAGGGGACTAAAATAAGTTGTACTTTTGTCTGCTTTTTGAAACCGGGGTGTGCTGACCACCATAGGTAAAACAGTGACTACAGATAAGTACCTCTCACAACCCTACTTCAACACATCCTAGCTTTCCCTTCAGGCTTTATGATTCAGTTAATATTTGACAGCTTGTGCGGTCACCTCTAACCCTACTTTTACATTAGCTACTTCAACATCTCAAAAGCACTGTATCCTTATAAATACATCAAGTTAACCGCTTTATTTCATGTATGGACTGTTGAATGATGGAGAACAGTTACACAGAGGATACTGGATACTACCAGACCAGACCAGCGCAACACAATACTTGGCCTTAATGACTTAGTTAGTGTAGTTTCCTTCAGCTTGACAGCCGTGTGTTGTTTTATGATTGTGAAGGAGTTCCATGTCAGCTGGGGTTTTTAGTTTCTACCCTGCCTTACATCGATCATCAGTATTCACACCAAACTAATGTGTTTCCCACAGTCACAGATGACAGTGAGGAGTGGGCATGTGAAGACGAGACCATCTCCCCCGTCAATGAGAGCCAGTAAGTAATGTCCTCTACTGTGGTGTAAAGTTGCTTTTGAATCAGTGTTTTCTAAGAAGGACGGAAACCATTGACCACATCAGAGTGCCTTTAAGTAATTCCCTTTGAAAGATGGGATTGAGTTCATGTGGCGGGTATTTTTCTTCCTCTTCTTCCTGCATAGTTCCTTTCCCCATCAGACGGTCCCACTGCCTGAGACGTGTGAGTACATTTTATATGAAAACATGAGAACAGAACATGGGTTTCTCAACCTTCTGGTTTTAAGGGAAATGGAAGCTCTGCCTGTGGTTGTTTTATTTGATGTATGGCAGACTGTAACATGCCTCCTGATGTACATTTACCATGTGGCTCCCTCTCTCCTTTACCTCCCCCCCCGCCCTTCATGTGTTCCCTTTGACAGTATGCGACTATGTGAGCGCCCATCACACTCTGAGCGATGCCAACCTGGAGGACCTACACACACAGTGAGTCTCACACACAGGTGTCAAAGCAGATACCTTGGCATGTTTGTTTTGCCTAACAATGTATACGTTAATCTTTCTACACCCCCCTCTTCCTAAGGCAGCGAGTGTGTACATAATGTATTTCACCATATAAAAACAAAATGCTGTTCTCAACATGGGACTTTTATTTAACACAATAATAAAAAGGTGATTAATATATTCTGTAATTTCCCCTAAAAATATCAAACCCTTTGAAACTCATGAAAAACTCTAGCTACGAGTCATATTTCGGGAGGGGGTGTTTTACCTTTTTAAAGATGAAACATGCTGTGTAAATTACACCGAAAGGTTTTTGATTGTTCTATGTCCCCCAGTTGAAGGGGGTTGGTGGTAGAGTTCAGAGGGTTTTGTTGGGTTCAGAATTCCAGAAAAGACAGACAACTTCTAGGTTTAACTATTTATTGTAAAGAGAGCAAAATATATATCACTTGGCCAAGGACTTGTCACGTCTTGGAAATCACAGGCAGCAAAGCTGTAATCTGTAACCACCATATCCGTAAAGAGCCTCGAACCTCGTGCGACAATACATTTTATTACACAGGGCGTTGCCCATACCTTTATGATGGGTCAAGACTAGATGAAGAGATACCGCGGTTTACACTTGGTTCTCTTTGGTTGGTGCGCAGACTCAGACAAGAGTCTCTTGGCAACACGATCCTCCAATCATCATTCGGCCGGCTGGCGAACTCCCTACTCTGTCTCTATCATATGTCATTTGTTTTCGCTATCGTTTCTTCAGATATAGTGGAAAACCATAATGCTGCTTCCTAGCTTTGCTTGGGCGGCTCCCATACAATTCAAGGCCGGTGCGATGTGCTGTTCTGACTACGTCTTTGTGTTCTCTCAGTCTCTGCACCTGACCTTGCTACTTTCAATATTGCAAGCTAAACACTTTCTCATGTGACTTTTCCCTTCGTTCCTGTCCTCCCCATCAAAACTTGGGGGGGGGGGGGTGATTGAGTCTATTTATTCCAAAGTCACAGCCACATAAATGAGCACAATAAGCTTATAATGTAAGAATCAGTCTTTCTAATGTTATATAAAAATAGCCTCCACAGTTCTTATAAGTTATTTTTCTATTAATAAAAGTTAAAAGATATGTTTCATAGTTAATTCCATTCCAATAATATAATAAGAAGTTAATGTGTTCAAATAAAACCCCCCAGTCAGAATCGGAAACAAATTAGAAAAATAAGCAGGATATCGGCACATTTGAAAAGCTGAAACCAGCAGATGTTTAAAATGTTTGCTTGAAAAATTATCAATTATATTTTTGAAGTCCTATAGTGCCTCAAACAAATACTTCCATACCCTGTTAAATTGATTAGTCTATATTGTTATAGTGACACTATATATTTTCTATGATTAATAATATAACAAATCTTCTAAATATATAAAGTAGGGTGACTTTTTTTCAGGTCACTGTATTGGATTGTGATATAATGTATAGGTGTGCCATGCCCCCTATAGGCTACTAATGAGTATGCAAATAGTTATACAAGTCCTATCACTTTCTTGTCTTTCACCCTAAGGACGAGACATGACGCCCTGCAGAAACTAGCCATCTTCTTTCAACACAGCAAAGAGGAATTTGATGACATTCCTGATGGCAGCGGAGTGACCCCTACAAAGTACAGTATTCTCATATTCATGACCTCAACAATATCTTAAAAGTCATCAAAATCTGCAACCAACAACATCGTTAATATCAAAAATATTTTCTCAAAATATATTTTCCTTTTTATCCCTTCTATCCTGTGCAAAGTGCTGAGCCACCACGTAAGTTCAGAGTTGAATTTGTTCCATGACCCTTCTGTTTGTCACCACTCGTGTCACTCTCACTGATATTGGTGCAGCTAAGTGCGGGGTACTTAGACATCTCTTTGAGGGCTCCACAGTCAGGTTGGCGTCCTGCCTGTAATGGAAAATATCTTGCAGGAGGACATTTATCTGACTCCTGTAACCGGGAGACGTGCTGCGGCGCGGTTCAAAGTTAACGTGCCATTTTGTATCTGCTCCTCTTTTTACCCAGACTTATTGTGTGCTGTCGAGGAGCCTCCGTATCCGTAAGTGTTGACGGCTTTCCTTCTTATCAGCAAAATGAAGCTTGTAGATTTTCCCAAAGGAGCGCAGACAATTCTTCGGGAGGTTTGGCATTCTCCTGGTGAACTCTGACGACCCTTCATGTTTTGGTCTGACAGGGAACAGGAGGTTGACTTCACAGAGCTGGAGATCCTTTCTCCCCCTCTGCTGTATGCGGACGCCTTCTGAGTACCACATCGCCAAATGAAGGAATGTATAAAACTCAAAATATATAATTCACTTAAGAAATGTGGTACCATGATTCATATTTTTTTTAAATATGTGTTTCCTCTGCAGTGGAGAAAAAGAAACGATCGTGAATGGAGCTGCTGATGTTACTGTATTATAATTCTTATCACACGTTTTTGTTGAGTTTACCTTGGATCTTTCACAATATGTTCTTCAGTTATCTTGTAACTGTTATTAATCCACAAATTGAATCATTGCACTTCATCCAAAGAGTGATGACATAAAGTAACTCCTCACTTGTACATTTACGGATTTATTTGTAAATGTGTTCTTTGCATTTTGATTTCTTGTTTTGTTTGTTACATCCAATTAAAAATGTGCTATTGATTCACGCTTTTGATTACATTTTTACCCTCATTGAAACAGACTGCTGGATAAATCCAATGCATTAAGTGCTCCTGTACACCTGCACGAGTCCTGGAACATGGAAATGAGTTAGCTTCCTTGCACTCTTGGTTCCATTTTCTCTAAAAATCAATGTATTTTTAAATAGGTTTTTGGTTTGATTGCTGAAATAAGGTCTGCGGTTATGACAAGTTTAAGAGATGTACACTTAACGGTCGCCTATTGTGCAAAATCCACTTTTTCACGTCAGTTATACATCAACATGTGTCCCCTCTGTGTAAAGAGACTCTGAAAGTTTCAGGAACAAAGATTCTCTCTCTTTTTGTCCTGATCCATTTCTATAAAAACCTGTCTGAAAATGAGATTTTGATCAGATTTTGGCCACTTTATGATTTCATTACGTTTTTTTGGCTTGTGTAACCATTAGCCAATCAGTAACCAAGGTAACCCCCGCCCACTTTATCACCTGAATCTCCTCCTAGAGCACCATCGTGTTATTTATAACCAAATACCTCTCAGAGGGGCGTGGGTAGGGGCTCCTTATTTTCATCTAAGTAACAGACAGAGAATCAGCACTTTTGAAACAGGGCTGCAACAGAGGGGATTATGGGATGTTACAATGCATGATCTGTTTGGTATTTCGAGCCACACACTTCAGAGACATGTTTTGTATATATGCGACACCTATAATATATTGATGCAAAAGAGTATAATAGGAGTATATTTTATTTTATATTTTCTCCTTATTTTGCAATATTAAAAAGTCCATTGGGTTTAGATTTGACCCTATGCTCTCATTCCCGGTTCTTTGTCATTGTTGTATGGGCTGACGTTGCTTGTGAAATCCCCCTGTGCGTGTGCGTGTGTGTGACTACCATATGGCATTAATTGAAAGGGGAGGAGCTGGAGGAGTGGCTGTCACAGGACTCTAACTTGGGAAGGAGGAAAGGATGGTTAAAAGTTAGTAGAAAGTGAGCAGTGATTGTTAGAAGAGCTAGCGCTAATGTTTGGAGAGGGCGTATTTGCTCAATTAGTTTAGACTTGCATGACGACTGCTTAAGATTCAAGTAGAACAAGCTAGATAGTAAAAAAAGAAACGTAGCCTACTGCGGTAACTTCACCAATACTTTTATTCCGTTTTTTATCTGAACCACTTAAGACTTTTTAAATGCAACGCTGTTTGATATATGAGAAAACCATGGCCGGCGAGACTAAGAACTCACTGAACAACAGTAACTGCAAAGACCACAGCAGGAGGAAGCTGCTGGTGGGAGTGGACCTCTTCTGTCTGTTCCTAGGTAAGACCCCCACTGGATGCTAATGACAGTCTAACTTGTGTGATATGTTTGTATAAAGTGTATTTCACGAGAACGTGTTGGTACTTTGCACTGAATGTATGGCTGTTTTATTCGCATTGTAACTTTAAACTTTACAGGCAGAGGTGGAAGAAGTACTCAGATCTTGTTAAGTAAAAGTAGAAATCCAAAAGTGTAAAGTAAAAGTTCTGTATTCAAGATCTTACTCAAGTAAAAGTACAAAAGTAGTGGCATCTACAGTAAATATAGCCTACTGAATGTATCAAAAGTACTGATAATGCAGATTGGCCCATTTCAGAATCACATATTGTTTTCTTATAATGTTGGTGTGTTTATCAAGCTGGTAAAGGTGGGACAGATTTCAACTAATTGTGAATTTAATCCAGGTGTACAAAAGTCTTAAGTGTTTATAATATGTGTTATCATTAATCCATATCTACAAAGTAACTAAAGTACTACATAAATGAAGGGGGAAAATAGTACAATATTTACCTCTGGATTGTAGTAGAAGTACAAAATACCTCAAAAATACTACTTAAGTGCTGTACTTGAGTAAATGTACTTGGTCAAAACCACTGTTTACAGGATGTGTTTAAAGTTCTTATGTTTGCTTCTAAACTCTTACTATACAATTGTATTTCCTTACACATCGCTATAATGTGTTATTTTCTATAATGTTGTTTTATGTTTGACATTAACTGCTGTATTATATGAAACTTTCACTTTCTACTCATGGTGTCCTCATACATTAAGTGAGCTTAATATAATAAAAACATAATTATTTGTTGTTAAAAACTATTACATTATTTATAAAATGACACACTTTTTAGTGTAGCTACACCAGCTCGTCAAGCTGTGTTTCCTAAGCAACAAGTGATGTCTTATTACAACTGCAGCCTGCAAATTAGCTACAACAGCTATTAAGTTAAATATTTTCCAAAAATACATTAGCTTAGCTAGTAGTGGAAGTATGTTTTCCTCAGTGGTGGCCAACCCCTTTAAAAAAATAGTACTGGCAGAGGGGAAAGTAATAAATTGCTCCAGGAGGGATATGTTTCTTTGGTCTCCAGCAGCCACACCTGTACTGTAGCTCACTCTGCTTTGACTCCTTATTATATTTTCCAGAATGGCTCACATTCCTCACCAGCAGGAATTCTCTTGATCTCAACATCTGGCATAATATATTGTGTGTGTGGAGTAATTAAGGGAAGTGGTAAAAGGTCAGACCTGAGTGTGCGTGCCTGTTGATCAGCAGAGATGTTAAACAGCTGGAGAACACTAGCTTAAGGTTGTTAAATATATTTTTTTGAACCTAGAATGTTCGCCCAACCTTGAGGCTTAAACCTTTGACCGTTCACCAATTTCACCCTGTTATTATCTTCCTTAACGTAATCCTGCATGGTGTTCTGTGGAACATCAGTGTAAGAAATGGCAAAGCAGTGTTTCAACTGCATGGGAAAGCACCAGCCATGCTGTTGTCAAAAACAATCCCATGAAAGATCAACAGTGTTATGTATTTTTTCGACCACTCCTTTCGTCTCAAAGGAGGGTAAATCCCCATGCTTTGCTCTGTGTATGTACCTTACCACAGAAAAGCTTGTCAACAGACCAGCAGTGTGTTTCTTGCTGAAGATGTGGTTTAAAGAAAGCAACCACAGGGAGGAAATGGTGGACCAGTAATGGTAATCACTCCTACTCCATTCTCACAGTGATTGCAGTTCTAGTATTTCTGCATCTAGGGAGATCTCTCTCTGCTTTCATGAACTATCTCAGGTCACTGTGATCCCAGTAGACCACCAGTGCCAGTAACAATAACATTAGTCACTACACTAGAGGAGATATCGACTCTCGATTTAGTTGTGATTGGAACAAAATCCTGGCAAATAAGCCTAAGAAAAGCAGAAAGCTGCAATGTAGTGTTTTTGCCTGAACCCAGGGGGGGGGGTTAGGTTAATCAGGTTCAGTTTACATTAAGCCGTAGCAGGTGGGTTTCCTGTTTACCACTTAATCGTCTTATGTTTGTGTTTTTGTTCTGCATTGTGCTTAAGGTGGTTCAACCGTTTTAGTTTTTGAACACAGGCCTTCCTTCTTGATGTAGAAAACAGGCATAAGTGTGGGTAGTTAAATGGTCAGTTCTCCAAAATGACGATACTATAATGTTGTGGGTATCTAATTCCTTTTTTAATGCCTTTTTAGGATGGTAGAAGGCCAAGGCACACAATGACATGTGCTCTTTTAAAGGCTTGAGTTGAGTTGACTCTAAAAGGCATTCATCCTACAGTCACAGTATGCACATACAAGGTTGTATAAGGTATGCATGTAAATATATCCTTAAGTGACATTGTCGTGTATGATTTATTTATGTTTATGTTCATGCATTGTTAGTATTTTAGTTTGGGGTTCTGGGAGTAGACGAGGAACAGATATGTAAACTGCCTCTTGTTTAACACCAGATATTCCAAAGATTTTAATAATAAATAGATGGAAATACTGTAGAAAATCAGCAGTAATAGCCGCTAGCAATTCAATGCAAATGCGCTTTTGTGTAACCCAAGAAGGCAGGTAGTTTCTTTCCGTAGTGGAACTCTGAAGTACAGCAGACTGACAGACAGGGGGTCGGTTGTGTGGGGGCTGCTGGGATTAAAAACAACTGCATCTGTGTATACACCACAACTATCTCAGACATGTATACATTTCTATGCCAGACACCGAGAGATCCCTGCAAGTGGAAAATGTGCGTCTATTTATTTGAATAGTCACACCATGGTGTTTTGGCAAAAGTCTCTAAAATATGGTGGGGATTTAATCCAGCGTGAGTACACTGATTCTAGTTTACACAAACTGCAGCTACACGAAGTTGCCAATTCTAAACTGGGGGGGAAGGAGTAGGAAATTCTACCAAGTGTGTCATATTTTGATGTGAGACAGCTCTTGGTTACGTGTTGAAAGAGCAGCCATCATCATTCTTAATTTACAGTGTTTGCTTGTTTGCCTGTTAAGCAAACTGCTTCAGGGTAAAACCGCCGGATAAAAGACACCTGATGTTAACATTAGTAACTGAAAACACACTGGGGGGCGGGGGGGTTGAAGTCATTTTGTTTGCTTCTGTTGTCTTTGGGTCGAGCTAATGCAAAATGCAAACCCACGCCTGCTGACTGGTGTTGTCGTTGGCGAAGCGAGGACAGCCTCCCTCCCTCTTCCTCCTCCTCGCCCCCCGGCTGTTTAGAAGCGGGAAAAGAAGGAAGAGGGTAGGAGGGGAAAATCCTAATGCGCTGTACTCAGTGCTGACACTGCACTGTTGAGACGGATGGAAGGGGTCGGAGGACAGAAGAAAAAAAAACGCTGGGTGTTGGGGAAAACAGGAACTGACAGCATCTTGTGTTTTCCTGGTCTTCTTTGCAATCAGCTGTTTGAAACACTTGACCCGTGTTGGTTCCTTTTGAAAAAGCTGTGGTCTCTTCAAAACCCCCCCCCCTCTTGTCTCTTTCCATCAATCCCTGCCCTTAACCCCGGGCAAGGGTCAGGACTCTTGGGGTTTCACATCCAGTCCTTTTTTTTAACGATACATATATACAGTGTATCAGCAGTTTTGTGAGGCCAAAGTCTTTGTTTTGGGAACCCTTGTGGTGGTGTTTACGGACAGGCTAAGCAAACTGAAGGGATCAGACGTTGAAGGGTACTGTAAAGTAATGTATATTTTCACGGTTACAGAACTCTGAGACATACCACCGTGCGCTTTCTCTCGCCACCAGACTTCCTCTGGAGCTGATTGAATCTGCGTCTAGGTATTTGTTTGGAGAGCGAGAATGAAAAGCGAGAAAGTTAATAACGTGAATCCTGCTGAATGTGGAGGGAAGGACCAAATTCCGAGGTTCCCATCAGGAATCGGCGCTCTGTCTGTAACCTGAGCTCAACCCAGCTGGACCTTCAAAGGCCAAAGTCAGCTGTGTGTGTGTGTGTGGATGTAAGGGGTTGAAGGGGCTCAGCAAGTGAAGCGTGTGTTGACATTTGGTTTTGAGAAATCATACCCCCCCCCCCCTCATTCACCACAACCCACACTCCCCTCGGCAGCTCTCGGTGTTGACCTCTACACCCCGGTGCTTTTTCGCTTTTGAGACCGAGGAAGACAGCGTGTGAGAAAGTGAGCGCCCATGTTTGTTTTCCTTTGTATCGCCAGATCTGCAGATTTATTCAAAGAGTTACTTGAAAGCCCCACCATCAGTTAAATGTCGCTTTGAAGTGATATGAAAGTGCGGTTTTCCAAATTCTGTCAAGAGATTGGAGGCCTCTCCTGGGTACCAGTACGTCCACACTCACATTTCAAAGTCCTCCATTGAAGCCATTGCTAAACGGGGGAAACAGGCTGTCATTTTTGGCTTGCATATTGCTAGCACCCACTCTGTTTGTTGTCTGGAGATAAATAAGATCTCTTTGCCACTTTAAGTGGTGAAAGACACTAAATTGATCAGACTTAAAGTGGGCCTTTTTTAAAGTGCACTTGAAAGCCTCGGCAGGAGAGGAGAGATGGCTCTGATACTGTTCGTGGGTTTTTTCTCGTCAGCTTGCAGCAATGGTCTCTAACTTAAAAAACACGACACATCCAATGTTGTTATTGCTAACTCAGCCGGTTTGAGATGAGTTGATGCTATTCTCAGAGAAAAGGGTTCAATTAAGACTAAGACAAAGATGCAGCTTTAATTCATTCCAATGCTTATTTACTCATGACAGCATCTGTGTGGGCTATTAAAAGCAGGATGGGATAAATAACTTGAATTCATGTCTATGGGAGTTTGTAAAATGTTTGTCAACCTCCATCTGTACATCAGTGTTTCCGTTAGCTTGTACTTAACAGACTTTGACCGCAATAATCTGTTAAAAACTGGCAATTAAACATTGCTCCAGTCATAATGTCCCCTGAAGCAAAGTTTGAGTCGACAGTACGCCTTACAGGCCTTCATGTATTTTGGTTTCTTTACAAACCGTTTTTTTTTTCAGATACAAAAAGAAAGGAAAATGATTTGTGTTATTAATGTACAGCATAGGGCTATCATGCTATTTTTTTGGTGTTAGGCACAAGTCTAGTGACTGGATTTAAACCTGCGTTCAATGTCATTCTTTAAACAGCCGGAAACACTGCTGTACATGTGTGTATTTCCTATTTACAATGTCTGTTGATACAGCTGACTTCTGCCCATACAGTTGTGCTTGTTGGTGCGTTTTTGCACAAATCTCCCTTCCCACCGTACCGGAGAGGATTCTTCTGCAATGACAACAGCATCGGGCTGACCTATAAGAGCAGCACGGTGTCCACCACGGTGCTCACAGCCGTGGGCGTCACTGTGCCCGTGGCCTCAGTAAGTCCTGCTGCGGTACTGCAAGACAACCAGAGGGAATATGTTGGGACACTCGGTTCATCCAACGGTTGGCTGGTGACACGATTGGCTCGACAGACTCTGACTCACACTCAGTGGTTATATGTTGCACTCCATTAGCTGCAAATCATGTAGACCGTGCTTTACAGCCAACCATTTTCCAAAAGCTATGTTTATCATCATAAGCCTTTGGATGTATTTCCCAGTGGCTGCCATTGGTTTCCAATTGTAAGAAAGGGTATTAAAAATAATCTGTGCCTACAAATTAATTAATTAATTAGTTGTTTATTCCATTAAAAAGTCAGAAAATAAAGAAAAATGTCATGGGGATAAACAAACTTAAATAACTACAAAAGAACACTTTTACAATTAGATAATACTTGCATTTAAGAAGATAATTGTTGGTGAAGATGACTAAATAAACTTTTGGAAGGATCATTTTCTGTAACGTGTATTTCAGGATCTTTCTATTTCCAAAGTTCTGCCGCTCTTTGTAAATCTACAGTCACATTATAAACGGAAACCAATGGCACCCTGAGGAGAGTGCAGTACGTAACATCTGATTTGGAAAGTGGCCATCAGCAAAATAAACTGCTTTGGCCCTAATAAAGTCTCTAATAATACTGAAAATGAAACAAACTTGGAGTCATTATCTCTTGATCAGCCACAGATCCCAGCCACAGAATGGACCGATCCTGTCCCAGATGTTCCCTAGTTGCCTCTTGCTTGTACCTGCGACCTCTGTAATTTGCCAGTCATTAACCCTGCACCTCCATCTCTCCCTCCCTCACCCATCCCCCCCACCCCTCCTTTCTCTCTCTGTGCTGCTCACTGCTTCTTCACACTAGCCGGCCTGCCTTTCTTGGTCATTGAGACCAGCGCTGTTCAGCCCTACCGTAGAGGGTTTTACTGCGACGATGAGTCCATCAAGTACCCGGCCAAACACGGAGACACCGTTAGCGACGGTGTGCTTAGCGCTGCTGGCATTCTTATCACCCTCCTCTCTGTAAGTCACCTCACTCTGATCACTAATGTCATTATCATCACTCTGTGTTTTTTCAGCAGCCTTCACCATTACTAGCAGCACACTCACTGTCACCATGTAACAGATCTAGTAAATGTATGTCAAATTCAATACTATAAATTAACTCGAATTACTAACATTTGAGATGACACACTTTAAAAACTTGAATAATATTTCATTGCTTATTTGGGGAAACAAAGAAATGTGAAGCAAGCAAGGGAGTCATTCATCCAACCAACCAATCACATTTCAGACAGTTAAATAAGAAATATGTTAATATACGTCCTGTTTCGGTCACTTATATTTGTCAAAAATATCATGCTTGGATCTTGAATGGTGATATAAATGTCTTAATTTAGAAACACATACCGTACATAAAATATACGCTTTCATCCAAAGCAACAAAAAGTCCATTCAACCATGAAGAAACCTACTCAATAAAGCAAGAATCCTGCAGTTACATTCAATTTGAATGAGCAAAAAGTATAACAATATGATAATGATGTAAGGATTTTCAACTGCTGACTCAATTACACTCGCAATATGTGTTCCTTTCTCCAATGTATCCATGCATATTCCAACTGCACTCAGACCCATGTTCACACTCCCATCAGAAAGCTTTATGAACTGAGATAATCCTACCTGATTACTGAAACAACTCCTCCTCATACCTGTGCTATCAGTCCCCCTTGATTGGCTTCAACACATTCCAGATAAAAAACAGTCAACAACATTTTTTCAGGGCTTTTCTCCTGGGGGTGGGGGGCTTCAGATGTCTCCATTGATAAGAGCATTCTAGCTATCAGTGAAGTATTGGGTAGTTTGTTGCAATGTCCTTGGAGAAAAATGGTGAGGATACGCTACCCCGACATCCTGTAATTCAAATTGAAGTTTTCTCCAATTGAACCGTAAAGATTTTTTTGCCATGGTTCTCGGTTATGCTGTTCCATTTCCAATGCCTCTGTCCACACGGCTTTGTGATGGCTAGAATTACAATTAGACTTAACTCAGACAACCGGACCCTTTTTTCAGCTTTCGTTTTATTCCCCCACATCTACAGTACACTAGGTAAATGATTTGAGTTTTTTCTCTGAGCTCTCTCAAAACAATCAAATTCAAGAAACATTCAATGTAGATACTGTACAACTGCTTCTGTTGTGTCGCTCTAGCCTTTTATAGAAGTCCACTCTAAAGAAAAATAGAACATAGGTTATGGTAATATGTTAGTTGTTTTTTTCAGTTTGAAAACATTTTACTTTCCACAGTTTCCTAGACTATTCTAGCTGTTCTTTAACCACTTCCACAATCCACATCACTGATTATTATTTATCTGAATTCTCATTTTATTACATTTTTCAGTGTAAGTATAAATGATCAATTCTACATTAATAATAATAATAATAATAATGCATGACACTTATATAGCGCTTTTCTAAAAACTCAAAGACGCTTTGACAGAGAATAAAACAGCAAAAAAAACAAAGAAAAATACAAAAACAGATAAACCAAAACAGAAAATTGTCACAAAATCAAGTATTTAGTCAAAAATCCTGAGATTAAAAAAATATCTTATCGCCTAGCGGTAGTTACAAATGTGCGTTGTTTTGTTAATATCTACTCTCATGTAAAATCTGTTAAAGTTACTGAGAAGAGATATGTGACTAAATTCAGTTACTAGTTAAAATGTTAGTTGTTACACAGAGGTTACATAAAAAACACAAAAAATGTATATGTAGTACGACTGTACAACTGTTGCTCTTTTTCTATCTTAGTACAAGTTCTTTTGACTTTTAATGAAAGTTGGACAGAAGCTTCAAATTGAAAACAAATCTAATGTTAAAGTTCCTTTACTTTGATGAAGGCATTAGAATGTTCGGTTCGTATTCCACAGGGTAGCAACTATTCAGTAATTAGTTACATTTCAAAAGTAACCTTCTCAACTATGCCAAGGGGCCAGCAAAAACAGATTCCTTGGACCTGCACTAAGCAGCAGTCACATTTGAAAATTCTTCAGGGACAATTTAGTTTCCCATTGATGTTCCTCCAAACTTGCCATAGCATGTGCAGTTGACCCTGGAGGACGTGCCACGGGAAGGTGCCTTGCCTCCTGACATGTCCCGTCTCCTTCCCTATAGCCAGTTGTGCCCCCCCCTCCTTGAAGGGCAGACTGCTACCAGGCTTGGGGCCACAGGGGTTTTAATGGTGAGAACGAGTTCTGGCCCCATGTAATTATGGTTGACGCAATGGTTGCTTGGTTAGATACTGTAATTGGTTGGGTGTAATTGTGGTTAGGGTCCAAAACAAGACTTTGCCAGATATCTAATTTTCTCCTCACAAAACCCCCTGGAGTGTTGTGGCTAGAAAACACCAACATTATGTCTTTTAGTGCTTTGTTTCCCACCGAATGGAGCTGAGAATCACAAGAGGCCAAGTCCTTTATAATTTATGCAGATCTTTTCAGAAGAAATGAAAACACCATGGTGTCATTTTGGAAACACAAGACATTTGAAACAAGCCGCAAATCAGCATCTTGCACCCATTATTACCTCTTGGGGTTTTAGAGTAACAGCTCTATAACCCACAATGCCAATTCATTTATGCATTCACATGGTTAATTATTTCTCACAAGGGGAACCAGATGTGTTTTTCTCCCCCTTCCCTCTTTTCCCATGAAAGCAGCTGGGCTTTATCGAGCTGGCTCTAAAGGCCTGAATGGTGGAAAACAACACACTCTATCGGCTTGCTAAATCTCCGTCGGGCTATCCCTCTGCACAGAGTGTTTCCCAGAATGAGACTTAGTTCTGCGCCCCTCGTAAGAATGTCTGATGAAACGGAGATACTAACAGAAAACAGCCAGACATCCCATGTGAAACCGGAGCCAGTTCAGAGAGGCAGCCAGAGCGGTGAAAAACAAGCATGCCCCCGACGTGCGCCTGGTGGAGTCCCGCCACGAAAATCAGACACGTCTCCTAGCGTTTCTGCTGATTAGAGCCAGCAGTGCCTCCCCCGCTGCCTCCCTCATTCCTCCAATCACCTTCCATTTTATTTCCCTTTCTACTCTACTCTGAAAGCTTTCTGTCCTCCCCTCCTGTCACTCCGATTTCCCCATGAAACTCCCCGAAACTCTCGTTCTGACTCCTCTACCACACTTTCATTTTGGAGCTGTTGGAAGACAACGAGATGAGGGGGTTGGAAAGTGTTTTTTTGGGCTTGAACAGCTGTTGCAGGTTAAGGCTGTCTACCCCCCCCCCCTTAGTGCGCCTTAAACGTCAGTCATCGGTTTTAGACGGTGGTTTATTTACACTTACTGAAAACTATACAAGGCGGACAGTTTGATTCACCTCCCACGTCGCCTCGCTGTTTTTCTCTCAGAAGTAGGATGGTACAGGTAAACACGTTCAACTCGAAAGTAGCACTTTTCAAACCACTTCAGGGGAAGTCATGAATTCTATTTTAGCTGTCATAATAACATCTTAACCTAAAAAAGGCGCGTACGTTAATTACAACTCTCCACTCTGACCATCAACCTGCTCCTAAATGTCCACCCTTGCCGAATCACATACTTTGATGTTCATTTCTATAGAAGCACAATGTTCAAATGTTAACAGGGTATTTCTAAAAGTATGACACAAGATCTCACAAGAACAAAGTTAATAGGCTTCAAATATATTCAGATAATGAGAAATAACTTAAGATTTAATTGTATTACATTACATGTGAAATATGAGTATGACACTTAGCTGATCAAGCAAATCCTTCTGTCCAAGCAACATCATCTAAAAGTGCTCTCCCATTCATCATAAAGAAAGTTGTCTCTTCTGCACTCGCACACTTTCAAACAGAACACAGTAGTTATGATTGAAATGCTTTGGAATTAATGGTTTCAATGGGATGGTGTTAACATCATGAAATTAACTGACGTCAACATCTCTTCCATGCCTTCAGATCATCATCGGTGAGAGCTACAGAATCTACTTTTTGAACGAGGGATCCAAGTCCTTTGTGGGGAACCCCTACATCTCCGCTCTGTACAAGCAGGTGGGCGTGTTCATCTTCGGCTGCGCCATCAGCCAGTCATTCACTGACATCGCCAAAGTGTCAGTGGGCCGCATGCGCCCTCATTTCCTTGATGTGTGCAAACCTGACTTCACCACCATCAACTGCTCCCTGGGCTACATCACTGACTACCAGTGTCAGGGGCCAGATAACAAAGTTCAGGAAGCCAGGTATTATCATAAAGCGAGAAACAATATATAGAAACGTGCTTTAAACTGTTTTCTTACAATGCTGATTGTCCTTTATTCTTTCAGGAAGTCTTTCTTCTCTGGACATGCATCCTTTTCCATGTACACCATGCTTTACCTGGTGGTAAGTTATTCAATTGTACACACACATTCTCTTACTATATATATTACAAACCCATTTCCCTCCCTAGATTATAAAGATTATTGTCATCAGTATCACATCACAAATGCTCTCTTTTTACAGTTTTACCTGCAGTCTCGGTTCTCTTGGCATGGAGCTCGCCTGCTGCGCCCTCTGACCCAGTTCACCCTCATCATGATGTCTTTCTACACCGGCCTGTCCCGTGTGTCTGATCACAAGCACCATCCGACTGATGTGCTGGCTGGTTTCGTGCAGGGAGCAATCGTGGCCTACTGCATAGTAAGTGGTTCTATTATGTTGTAATATTGTAAACGTCTATATTAGATGAGATATGAATTGTTGATTCATTTATATTTCAGTGGCCTCAACTATAAATACACTTTATACTGTTTTGTTTCCTACTTTCGATTAAACGATAATATCATTATTCTCTTTTCTTAAACAGATTGCAAATCTTTTTATAGACACAAAAAAGAGCATTTTTAAAAAAAAATAGTTGAGTGAAGTAAGGGGCTTGATAATTATAGCGTTATGGTGCTGCAGATACTGTATGTCCTGGCCCTCAAATAGTAACCACAAATCTATTTCTGGTAAAGATCACACCATGATCTTTTTAATATATATATTTTAATAAATAATAAGAATATTGCAAAAATAATCACTCCCTTAAATTATGTAAATCCTATTACATTTGCAATATTAGTCAACATAATCGCAATAACATTTTTTTTCCTCATAACATCTAACCCCACTGAAAATCGAAAACAGAAGGGGACCTAATACAGAACTTTGAGGAACTCCATATTGTATCCATAAATTAAAGGAAGTTGCATTACATTGGAAAATAAAGAGACAGGAACAAGATTTATTTCATAAGTGTATCTTGTTCGATTTTGAAGGTGTCTCCTTTGTGAGTAACATTTTCTTCTTTTCTTTTTCTTCTTCCGCAGGTATTCTTTGTATCTGATTTGTTCAAACCTAAAGGTAGACGCTCTACACTTTTGCCAATACAAGTGAAGAAAGATCTTGTTCCTCCTGCAGACATCAGTCAGCGGAGCAACCACCTCATCATGGCATAGAGAAGACTGCAAACTGACTCTACATAACCCTGTACTGTGCCGTTTCAATCACTGCTACAGCCACTGGCCGATACTGGATAGAACCAACTCTCAGAAATATGGATAGTGCAGCACATGGAATCTTGAAACACCTCAGAGGATGTCAAATGTCGCTTTCTCAACGGAAATCTTCTCTTTCTTCAGTCTTACCAGACATTTGAATGTGAAAAAGAAAGGACTAAAGACATTTGTACCTCCTCTGTTATGAAGATTTTCTAAGATTCTCCTCTGTCGAAGCCTTTCCATGGACAAAACTCTGAAATGAAACTGAGAAACGGCAGCTGTAAACAAAGCTGTGTGTGGCTTATTTTGCCTTCTACCCTCAGCTGCATCCAGCATGGGAGCTACACTAATATTCCCGCCTCTCACTCACCTTGTGACTAATACAAACAAATCATGACGAAAAAACAGATTCCTTGATTTTATGAAGGATGTTGTTTTTGTTACGAACATAAGAATTGTATGTAGGCCCTTACGATAACTTCTTCTGTTTGACAATATATTGTCCAGAAATGACTGCGATCAACAATGATATTGTAATTTTAAGACTTTTATTCCACTGAGGTAATGAAAATGATAATATAATAGGAGGACAATGCAAATACACCCTTTGCAAGAGATTACCATATCATTCTTAAGAATATTCACATTGTACACTGGAAGACATGTAAGGGAAGGAAGAACCCTAAAGTTTATTCTGATATCAGTTTAGGCTAAAAATGTTGGTACAATTATTAGGTAAACAACAGCATGTAAACACAACAGGCAAAATGATCACGGTCATATCCAAAAATCACCATTAATAGATAACCTCAAAATGATCGAGGTCTTGTCCATGTTTCGTACCATAGGTCAATAACTTCCTAAACGATCACCGTAAAAAAGTTAACGAAGTCATGTACATACATCAAATGCGTCGTAAAAATAATCAAGGTCAGGTCAATATTTTACCATGAGTCTGGAACGTAATTATCGTGAGGGGCCTAATTACATGTGAATTTATAGCAATATATCAGCTTGACTCTTTACTGGTTTTTTGTACCACTTGATTGACCTGAAGTGAAGCTTTTGGAAAGCTTTGTAAGCATTTATGTCCATAATGTGGTGTTCCTTAGAAGGTGCACATAAGTGTTGGATGTGGGCCTCTTTCTGCTGGCTAGGACGAGCCCCCATTGAGCCATTTAATGAAAGTCCTATCTGTTATATGTACCAGGTGGGTGCTCATAAGTGTTAGGTCCAGAATGCGTGTGTGGTGTGTGTGTGTTGGTGTGTGTGTGTGTGTGGTGTGTGTGTGTGTGTGTGTGTGTGTGTGTGTGTGTGTGTGTGTGTGTGTGTGTGTGTGTGTGTGTGTGTGTGTGTGTGTGTGTGTGTGTGTGTGTGTGTGTGTGTGTGTGTGTGTGTGTGTGTGTGTGTGTGTGTGTGTGTGTGTGTGTGTGTGTGAGTTCCTTGCATTACTTCTGTGTTAGGGTAAGGTCTTTTTCTGAGCCTGCCAATGTGTCTTAATGTCATGTCTAAATATTTCAGTGTTAATAGCCTACAAGTGTGCCTCCCTTCAGTCAGAGAACAGGCAACGGCTCTAACAGACATATGCATATTGAGACGGTAACACTGTGGAAAAAATGCATCACATGCAGTACATGTTCTTTACTGTTACTAATCAGAGCAATTATATTCATCACTGAGGAATCCTGTGATGAACTGTATGCTACACAGGCATAAATAGACTTGGAGTAACTACAGGGGCTTCCTAGTGAAGTGGTTACTTACCTTAGCTTTTCAGAGTAAAAGCACAATAAAGCAAAACATTTTTGGCACATTGTAACCGCTTGAAATCTCAAGTCTTTTAAAGTAATAAATGATGGTTGGTAATAAGGATCTGCATTATAATAGACACAAATCATTACATTTTAAAGTAAGTATGTGTTTGCATGACATTAATGACATTTTTTGCAAAAAAAAACTTTAAACCACTTACTAAAAGCATCATTCTAACTCGGTTTTAGGTTACTGAGACACATTTAGAAAATGTCTTGAGATCCACTTTATACAGCATCAGAACATTCTGCATACCATACCATACCTTGTACATTACTGTAGTATGTATACATACAGAATATTTCTTGAATAAATGCCCACTACGACCTGTGTGTCGAGACCTGTGTAAATGTAAAACATGCTGCTTTATAGAGGCAAAGCTTGGTGGATGTCATCCAGTAAAGTTGACACATTGTGAATATTACGTTTTTTTTAAAACAGCTCAGTACATGTTTATAAAAAAATAAAAATTGCCTTTCAATATTTTTGTATTGTGTGAAATGTTGTACGATGAAACTGTAAGACGTATAAAAGATAAAATGTACTAAAGTTCAAAAGCATTGGACTGTGATGTTTATTTCACTTTTTTGTCGTACATGGTTTGTGTTAAAATCTGACTTTTATACTATGATTCAGTAGTGGGCCAACTGTGCGTGCGATGGAGAGATCTGGGCGTGGGGCAATAGTAGACTTCCATGCTCGGCTTCCTGTGGGGAAATAGTGTACATTCCAGGCTTTAACCCCTCTCCCCAATGGCTCTCTGAAATAATATAGACTCCCACAAAAAGAATGCCAGAGTGGCAAAGGACATTCACATATGAGAATGCTTAGAAGTAATGCAATTTTCCTATAGTGTATTGTATTATCCCTGCAGATGGCTTTGTCTCCACATAAAACCTAAATAAACCATATAAATATATAAAGACCATCTACAGGTTGTACCATGTAAAGTTACTGCTTGTGTCAGCATATCTTGAGCCTGGTTTTGGAACGGTTTTTCATGGTATTTTAAGCTGATTGATTTTTACTGTGGATCAGGCAGAGTGCCCAGATTAAAGTTGATTAGTTTAATAAGCTGCAAAATGTGTTTTGTATTTATGACCATGCTAGGGGTGATAATTGTGTGCAGCAGCTCCCTTGTGTTATTATGACTATGACTGTTTCTAATGGCTTGATTGGGTACATGGCTACACCCAGGGTTGGGTTGTAACGGAATACATGTAACGGCGTTACGTAATCAGAATACAAAAATCAAGTAACTGTATTCAGCTCGCGTTACATTTGAAAAACGAGTAATCTGATTACAGTTACTTTCGTAAACCTGAAGTGAATACATTTTGGATTACTTATTGGAATTATTGGTGGAAAGATTTCCTCACAACATTTAATATGCATTACTAAAGGTACAGCCGAATCATCACAGCCCACACAACCTATTACCGCCGCAGATGGACCAAAAAAGCGTTTGAAAAAAAATCGCGGGTCCGCTCAGTGAAACAATAACAACGAAACATGGAGGAACACAAGTCTGCGTTTAAACCGCGTGTGTGTGGTTAAAACACATCAGCCTGCGGTCGCTCTTTCTTTAGCCTTACTAATGATTATTTCTGAAGGTAAACACAGTGAAGGCGGTGCGTGAAAGGCATTGCGTGCTCGTCTTCTCAGAGGCTGAGTTAACCCTCCCGCTGCCTCCTGGCGCTGCAGAGATTTCATGAAGTGAAGGAGGTGTTCCTTCTATAAAACAGCTGCGGGCAGCAGATACTGTGAGAGTCACGGACATGAATTCATAGATCAAGGCAGACTGGTGCACACACTCTCCTGTTTTGCCAATCCGGTGCTTAAACAAATATAGCTCTACACCCCTGGCCGTAATGTCCTTAAAATGAAGTCCGAGTTTGACATTTGAATTCATGTCCTGCCAACACTGGCAGGACAGAAGGCGACACGCCCGTTCTAAGCCGTGTCCCTCACTCCTCACATCCCAAGCTGCATCCCCAAACAATTAATTATGTTGTTACATCGTTTCAGATGTTGTGTTTCAGTTGTGCTCTTGATAAGCCATTAAAACAGTAAAAACACATTCCTTTTGCTTTTTGTGTCTCCTGTACACCAAAACATACCCATCTGTGATGGAAAAAGAAAGTAATCCAAAAGTAATCTAAAAGTAATCTGATTACATTACTTTTTTAAGACACGTAACTGTAACTGTATTCGGATTACTTTCAGAGCCATGTAATCAGTAATCAGTAACTGATTACATTTACAAAGTAACCCTCCCAACCCTGGCTACACCCTACAGAGTGCATGTGCTCTGGTAGAGTTGAGTTTTTCTCTACTTTGATCCCATACCGAAAAATCTCCACTATTAAACAGATTGCCATAAAAGTCATTCATGGTCCCTAGAGAGGATGAACATAATGAGCCGCTGACTTTTTCTGTAGGACACTATGAGGTTGTAACTTTTAGGTTTAGTGAAATGTATTTAACTATAGAATGGATTGCATGACATCTGGTACAGAAATACCTTGTCCCCAGGGGATAAAACCAAATTACTTTGATAGTCATCTGATTCCTCGTCTAAGACCAGCAGTTGGCCAAAACCTTTTCCTACCCATTAAAACATTTCTACATCTACTACAAAGGTTGGCTAAGCTATGTCCCTGGCTTATTCTCTTGCACTCTCTTAAGGCTGACGTTTGTGCTTAGCCTATAAGTTAAATGTCTTCACAACTATTGGATAGAAGTGTCCAAAAGAGAGGAAAAAAACAAGTTTATCCAATAACTAATTTAGCGCCATCATCAGATTAGCATTTGGTGGTACTTAGCTCCACCCTCCTGTGTCACTTCTGGTTCCAAAAATATGGACGCCCAAAAACCAAGATCGCGATGGCCAACATGCCAAACCCGACGCTTCAAACCCCTAGTGAACACATGAATGGATGACAACAGTTGACTACATTTACTTTTTATAAACAGCCTATGATGCAAAATCCCTAAACTCAGATGATGATAATGCTACACATGTTAAATGTCAACCTGTTAGCACTGTCATTGTGAGCATGTAGGCAAGCTGGATGATGTTAGTATTTAGTTCAGAGCCATTCTTCAAGTAACCACTAGCTTGTCTTGTTATGACCATCCCTGGATTGACGCACTGTGGTGGAGCAGTTTCCTTTTGTTATGACTACTTCTAAATTACATTTCCAGTTTCTTAATTTGGTAAAGAACCCGACCCACAGGGTGTGTGCTGCTTTTCTGCTGTTATGCTAACTTCCTGTGGGTGCATAGTTTCCATCTCTCTCAGCCTTGTTCTTTCTCTAAACCAAACATGGAGCGTGTTTGATATAAGTTATCTACTGAAGGTGTAAAGACTCCTTTGCTACCAAACATGGCAGTGCTTATAAGTCCATGAGTGTTGCTCTCTCTGTTGAACAAATGTCCGCATCCAGTGCCAAAAACTTGTGTTTATCCTTGTGAACCAGCCCTGACCCGTTCCATTAAACCATCAGTGGTGCAAGATTTTCTCAAAGATGTCTTCAGTTGTAATTGGAAATGATAGAGGCTGTATGCTTAGTATATCTTTAGTATTCACCAGACCAACTAATGGAACAGTCTTGCTTTTCTTTTAACTTATCTAGTTTGGATTCAAAGTCTTTCTTGATCAGTAGCTCTTAACATTCTGATAATGGAAGCCTTTTCATGTGGTTTGGAGAGATAAAACTGTTGTTGTGTTTTCCCACCACAGTTTAACCCCTATTATTGGTGAAGTAATTACTCTGTGATTTCCAAATTGTCTTTATTAGCTCTGTAGCACTGTTGTGGTTGTGATGATTTTATTTCTTTTGTACCCCTTAAACACATACAAACACAGCACACTTCTCATTCTTCCTATCTTATCCTAGCCCTTTTTCAACCACAGGAAGTTTTGCCGAACCAGAGATCTTTTGAGGACCATTTTGCATTTCAACCGCAGGAAACTAAATTGAGTTCCGGGGACATTATTTTACCCCTTGAAATTAGTGCCTTCAGTCATGTGAGATTTGGAGCTGTTAATATGTGACTTTGTAAAGTTTAAATATGTTTTCATCCAAAAAAGTAACCATTTAGATTCCCGATATGTGGTCAGTTTATCTAAATAATGCATGTTTGGAATGTCCTCCTGTGACATTTCCAAGATGTGACAGAGGTCCAGGTTTTCCAGTACTTGATCTCAAACATTTTGTGTAAAACAGCCATAGTTTTTTCATGCGTTTGCGGTAATTTATGCCGAATCCTTGAGACTGCGGTGGACACATTGACATCATTGGGCTGAAGGCATCTTTTGCTTCCTATAAAAGTAGTTCCTTTGGGTGGCAACCCCAACTTCTGACATAATTATTTCCAAAGCCCCCTAACCTTAACTCAAACCATAACCACCACAACTAAATGCTTAACCCCAACACTTACCCTAACCGCCTCTCTCAAGTAAGGACTAACCAACATCTCTTGGTCCTCACAAAGGTAAATGAACAAGAACCATAATTAAACCACCATCCCCTTCCTCACAAAGATTGTTACCACTCTAATTACTAACGGATGTATTTTCTAATCACACATACTGTACAAATTAGCCTGCTTTTGTGCATTTTTCGAGCTGTTGCTTTACAACGTAAAAGCTTTTTTGTTGTTGCTGTTACTTGGTGGTTTTCAGCAATGATAACTTTTTGAAAAACCCCAAGAGGAGTTTGAAGCAAACAAAAAAAAATCTGACCGGGGTCATTCTTCTAGAAAGGCTATACTTTAGATTTTTTGAGAGGGGTCTGCCTGCAGACCTCCACTCTCAGGACAGTTCCGGTGCAGACCTCCACTCTCAGGACACCTCCACTGTCAGTACAGGAAGTGACGATTCTGACGTGTGCTAGCTAATAGTGATGCTAATGATAGCTAATTCCTAATAGTAGTATGTCTGTCGTTTGTACAGTGCTACTTATATGTTATGTAAAACCTGCATACTTATATGTGTTTTATTTCTATATTGTTACAGTTTTACAAAGTAAAAGAAGAACAGTAAAGTCAAGAAAGAAAACCTTGCATCTTTATTGGAGTACTTAAATGTTAGCTAACTGTCTAGCTACGCATAGGGATACGTGCTGTAAGGGCACAAGGTGTCCCTTTATATATACGCGGCGTAGGTGGGGAGATTCCAGCTGGGAACCTCCACCCCGCTGCGGGACGGACCCGTGGGACCCCTGGACAGTGCGTCTTGGTCACGCTTCATATCGGCCGGCCCGGGAAGGAAGAGACACACAGAGTGGGGGAATTTCCCCACCCCAACGCAGCAAACCCTCCCGGCCATCAGAGTCGAACCCGCAGTTCGGAGGAACCGACCGCCAGAGCACCGGCACTAGGCCGGGCCGGCGCGGAGGCCCTCCGACAGACAGGACACAGGCCGTGGGGGGACACCCGAGACCTTGAAGCCTGTCATAAGAGCCACATGACATT